CATTAAATCATTCATATAAAACTAAGTCCTTTTATTCATTTAGTTCTTTCATAAGAAACCTTTGAAGGATTTCAACTGGAATGTAACCCAGTTAAGCCGCGGTCAAACGAGAGTTTAGCAGTGTTACGAGGGACATTGCAAGCTCTTGTTAACAAAATAAAGGTTTAATATTAAATGTCCAACTATGTTTTAACTTATGGCGCGTTTGCCCTAATGCCACGGTAAATTACCGTAACGTTCTAATTTGCATCCGGAGTCTAGTATTCTATTCCTATATATAGTTGGTACGCTCCGGCAAACCACTGAGTGTAAACACGATGCTAAGAAACGTAGTGATTTTTGAACGGAATGCTAGCCATATCAGTAGCGTTGAGTGTAAACGCGGTATTATTAGGTAAATACATATGATAGTGTTGGGAAAGCGTGACTGGCAACTTTGACCCTTGTTTAACCCAGGCTTCATACAATCTCGTATTTGGGTACGAGATATTGGGCTTTATACTCTGGGCCCATGTTTTTAAATTGCGCATGTCCATAGACGTACAAGAACAGGTGTTTGGCTGGTGGCTGTTTATCACAAGCTACCGGAGAGTAGCGTTTATTGCGCAGTAATATTTCGTGTACACTATCGTGCAATTTCAAAAGGAACGTCTACACTTCTGTTTGGATGATGGAGGTGGGTAGTATGTACATGTCAATGAATATGAAACCACGCATTTTCCGTCTCGAAACCATTGGCTTGAGTTCGCGCTAATAATTATGCATTCATGCGTTATTTAATGTGGCGAAATTTTTGAACTTCAAAACTGTTTTTTCATGGTACTGTCTCTTCCAATGAAAGTTTTCCTCCACTAGCTCAACTTTGACTTGCTTTCCTGACTGGAAAATAATGCTTAACTGATAGTTCTATTTCATACAGTAGTCTTATGTTTACCCCTTGTTTTATTTCCCTGATAGCGAAACTAACGACGCTTGTTAACCTGTGAAAGTTTCCAGTCTGTATCCTTGGATTAGAGAGGGGCTTACTTAGTGGGGAAAGGGATCTTAAATGGTTTGAAAAGTGGAGATTGAGAGCGTAAGAAATTGCAACGCAGACGTGACAAAAACAACGCCAAATTCACAGTGTTAGCAACACGCGAGGAAAAACAATGAATTTGTTTTGTCAACAAAGACAGGTGAAAAGAAAACGCATTTAAACTGATAACAAAGATTTTTGGTCAAGTTCGCGTACTACTACTGAGCATATCTAAAGCTCCGTAATGACACGCACTAAATGAATGCTTATGCAATAATCATACTTCTTCCAGTGATGGATATTTTACAGCCCATATTTTCTTATTTTTTTATCTTATTCATTTTTTGATCCATTCGAATTCCGCTCGAGAAAATGAATTTTTCGTTGTACTGTACTCTGCCAGGCCTTGTACTCTGCAGTGTCAGAATAACATCAAACTAGTTTTTCATATCTCTAAGTATGAAATAGAATTTATTCATTTTATTGTATTTAAATTTATTTAATCACGGTAGCCTCGTGAATTAATCTTAGATATATTATTGATTCACTATTGAATGAATTTGATGTTGCTTCGTTACAGGAAAAAATTGAACGTCTCCGTTCCTATGACATTTTATCTCTTCAAGAAAAATGTCCTGCATTCGAGAAAAGCTGTCCTTTCAAAAACCTTGTCAATGATGAATTCATGAAAGTCATAAAGAAGTGTCCAGAATTTCACGATCATTGTCCTTTCAAGAATGCAACAAACCTCGCTGAAATTTACGAGAAGCTGTCACAAATTCCAGACCCACAATGCCCCTCGAAAAATCTTTCTGAGATGCTTACTGCCATGCATAGCGTGTGTGAATCTCTGGAGCAAAGTCTTGGAAACTGCCCAGTATTCGTCCCAGGTTGTCCATTCAAAACTGTAGAGAATTCTGGAGTGAAATTGGTAGATCCAGCCGAGTCTGTTGCTGCTCAACAGGTAGGAAACATTGTTGTTTGAAAACATGGTGGTATTCATTGTTACGAGAACAGAATCTACTTCCTGCAGGAAACGAAGATGTTTCCCATGAACAAATGCAGGAACATCGCTGTTTACGGTTTTTATAAACCACAAATGATTGTAAGAAACTCTCTGAAGACTCTTCTCAAGAACGCCTGATCGCAGGTTACGGGAACATAGGGTAGTCGTGAAGGCCTTTTCATCCACTTTGTACCACATCAATACATGATATGAGGTAAATAAAATATTAATACCACTGCAATATAGGACGAACGGTAAGGAACCACTGCAATATAGAATGACTTTTACCACTTCCCCTACACGGTCAGCCTTATGAAGGATTTATATTTCTGCATGTAAAACTGCACTTGATACTTCAGGTGGCCAAGAACGATTTAATGAAGATTGGTATATCAGAAATGAAACAAAAATGCCCGGCATTCAAAGAAATCTGTCCTTACGCCAAACTCGCGGATGAAAATGTTCAAAATTGTCCAGCATTCACTGATGGCTGTCCATTCAAGAATGCCAAAAACCTGGCAGATGTTTATGACCTTCTTTCAGAAATCCCAGATCCTCATTCACCAGGGAAAAATATTTTGGATTCACTTAAAAAGATCCACACTGTGTCTTCCAATGAAAAAAGCGTTGTTGGAAATTGTCCGGTGTTTCATGATGAGAATGGGAAGCCATCTTGTCCTTTCAAAAGTGTACGAAGTGAAGGCAAACATCTCGTGCAGCCAGTCAACGACGTCGTACAAG